GACCTAGGTCCATCCAGTTCAACCTATGTGTGTGTGTTTGTATTTATGTGTATTTAACACCCATAGCCTTGTATATTTAGTGAGTGAAAAACTAATCTAGAATTTTCTTGAACTTTTCTACGTTATCCACAGATACCACTGCTTGTGGAAGGGAATTCCACATTTTTACTACTCGCACAGTGAAAAACCCCTTGCGGGTTCTAAGATTGAACCTCCTCTCTTCCAACCTCTTCTCAGTACTATTCTTGGTGAAAACAACTTGTTATGAATATTGTTGTCCCCATGGATGATTTTGAAGACTGCAATAAGGTCCCCTCGTAATTGCCTCCTTTCTAAGGAGAATAGGTTTAATTGTTGGAGGTGGTCTACATAGATCAGGACTTCTATCCCTTTATTTTGAGGCCCTTCTTTGAACTCTCTCAAGCTCGAGGACATCCTTCCTGAGAATTGGCGACCAAAATTGCACCGTATACAATATCATTGTATTTAAAATGAATAATGCATAGCTCACTGTATATTACACAAGTATACATGCTTGATGATTGTATAGTGGCAGGGAAGAAATGTAATGGTCTAAATGGTCCTTATGCCAAAACTGTATTTCTGCCAAATATTTATTGACCCAATGAGGCTTATGTACGAAAAATTGTCTAAAAGGAATTTTTTTTGTTGCACATAGCAACTATTTGCCTTCCGATGGATTGACAGTTGACAGTTGACAATCCTTTGTCAAGAACTGATTTGTACTTTGATTTTATCTTAATTATAGAGATAAGAGAATAAGTTCATATGAACCATAGCGGACTTTACTCCAACGGCATTGATTATTAAAATTCCAATATTTTATTAAATACATAACATTACATTAAACATAATATTTTGTAAAAAACAATAACACTAATACCGGCAAGAGCAGCAAACACCTCAACATGTTTCGTGTTGAGGGGTTTGCTGCTCTCGCCAGTAGGCCATTTTTTGCTTTTTGAATGTAAAAATTAAATGTATATAACTTTATGGATATACAATAAATTACCAATAGGTAGGTGGGAGCATCTCTTGAACTATTTCTTATGTTATTGTTTTTAGAAAAAAATGATGTTTGATGTAATGTTATGGATTTAATAAAATATTGGAATTTTAATTAATCAATGTCGTTGAAGTACCATTAAAGTGCGCTATGGTCCGTACGAGCTGATTCTCTTTTCTCTAAATTTAATATGTAATTTGGATGTGATACTTTTTTATAAGGCAATTCAGTTACCTATGGTTTTATCTGTCAAATTGATCATTTAATAATTGACGCATTGATAAATTGACAATTCTGGAACAAGTGACAAGTGGTATGCCACTATTGTGTCACACCAATGGTTTTTATTTTATTATGAGCTGTAGGAATCCAAATGTATGTATTTTGAGACCATATTTGTGGATGTGCACCACTGTTCCATATTGGTACTTTTCCCTGGTCATTGATCAAACTTTTCTTCAAAACTATTTTATCCCTGTACAGTATAATTTAACAGCTAGATTATTACCCTGCAGTTTTCAGTGTTTGCAAACCATAATTTTTAAAAGTACATCAGGCATTCTGTCAAGCTCAAGAGATACTAAGAGCATCACAATTGTGTGCTGTTACAAATCATTGTGTGCTTGGCCCGTCCGATCGCTACAGTACCCAGAAATACTGACCTTGTTCTCTCTGGCAGCATAATGATGTATCTAGCCAGTGATAGCATCTGGGAAACAATTTTGGATCCAATGTCTGCCTACACAGATCAAGTACTGCTTAAAATGTACTTCCCCTACAACAGTCCTTTGGCATACTGTATAAGCACAGGGAATCAGACATATATTAAGTGTCTTTACATCACTTCCTTAATACCAATGCATCAAAGTAGACTTTTTGTATTGAATAAGAAGGGTTTAAGACTTTGCACTGTTATACATTTGACCCACTTTGTATAATATAGCAAAAGCACTGTCTGTACTATTCATATGATGTGTGCATGAAAGGAGGTGAGGTTTGATTGTGCAAACTCAATCCCTAGGAAACAGAATTTTCTCATGACACCACTGACTGAGTAATCCTGTACATATTTTTCTAGGGTGTCGAACTTCATTGGCTTTCCTAATAACTACATGCTGCATCAATATATTCCAAGAGCTGAAGAAAATGGAACTGTATGAAGAATTTTCAGTTTATCTATAAGTAATCTGCAGAGTCTGCTTTGTGACTACAACTTTAGAATAATTCTTATTCTTCTCAAACAAAATTGCTACAATGCTGTTGTAGCATAGAACAAAATAAATAATTTCTACATATTACTGTTTAGACACTGTGACTGGCATCAGCCAACAAAAGAAAAATTGCATTATTGATTTGAAAGGATACAATTGATTAGGTGACAGAAATACCTCACTACTGTACATTTTGTGGTGTTAGATGCTACTCACACCCCACAAGATAGCAGATATGTTGGATGTAATCTACACTGTCTTATACATAGGGTGTATTTTGAGCATTTACAACTCCTGAAGATAATGTATTACAGACACTGGAAAACAATGATAGTAACCTTATGTGTAGGTAATAGTATTGTTGGTCAAAACACCAGTGATTTTTTAACAATATGTGGCAAACTGTGAAACATAACTGATTTTTCTAAAATTGAATATATCACAATTGATGCATGGGTATTTAGGCAATGAATAGTTCATTGGAGTAATATAACCTGAAGGTGACTGTGACCTCAGATGCAAAATGGCTCTACAGAGACTTTAATCATGACAGGCTTCTTGAATTACTTTCTTACTTTTTTATAGTCGGTTCTGTCTCAATCACTTTTTTTCATAAGCAAAAGTTCCTAGTATTGCATCATTTATAAATTACCTTGTTAGTGCACATAACAAAACACTGCTTTGAAAACAATACCAACTCCTGCGGCGGACCCCAGCCTGTTTGATGGAAACCCATCAAAAGAGTTCATGGCTTAATGGAGGCTGTTTACGTGGGGACTTCGATCTGTACCTGCTGTCCCCTGTCACTCCCTGGAAACTTGGCGGCAGATGTTGTTTCGTTAAGTTGCCTCTGAAGTGGCTTTCTGTCCTAGTCTCCTCACCACAACAGAGTCAAACTATATTAGATCTCTTTATTTGTGCCTCAGGCATGTTTGGGAGCACAGCTGTGTCCACCCCCTCTTTACCTTTGGTGTTTAAGCCCCCCAGGCAGCAAGTGTGAGACCAAAACTGTTCTGCCACTCTTAACTACATCTGCTGACAATCCAGCAGCCTCGCTGCAGGCTGGTGAAGACCCACGCCTCTGCTCTGAACAGATGTCAGAGGCAACCTGCTAGCTCGCACCTGTATCAGCTTCCATAACCTTGCGGTTTGCCAGCTTAAACATTTATGACTCTTAGGAATTCCATCCACAATCAAAGCCCTTTCCTGGTTTTTGACTTGACTGTGTGCGGCCTTCTCAAACATTGGGCCACACTCAAAACTAGCAGAGCGGAGGGAGAGAGTGTGAAAATGGAGGGGGGGTGAAAATGTGAAGCATCTCTTGCCTTTGATACAGACTAGTTAAGCTTAAATTAATACTGCAGCCCATTGATGATTGCTATAAATAAATAATACTCTGCCTATTGCACATTGTTACATATTTCTGACATATTTATCTAGCTTGACAACCTGTCTAATTTTTTCGTAAAAGCTAAAAGGAAAAAAGAAAACTGCAGGAAATTAGTTGTCATTATCAAATGAATTAGTGACAAGGCCTTTTTGGTCTAGAAAATCCTGACAAAAAAACAGGTTGCTTACAGTCTTTATGTGAGAAATGCTCCAAAGGCAATGATTTCATTTTTAAGTTTCATCCATCAGTGTTAAACTTATGAAAAACTCAAGGCATTTGAAATGTGTCCAGATAGCTTCTTTCTAGCTTCTGCCAAATCATGACAGATCCCACAGCCTCTCTTTCAAGTGTAGAGCACCCTGAGAATGCCACCTCTGTCCCTGCTGCTCTGACAGCATCAGAACAGCAGTCTGTAAAGTCTACAAAGAGCATGTTTTAGCTGAACAGAAAAAATAATAGTTTGGGCAGGGAGGGTTTTATCATTTTACAATGCATAGGTCTGTATCTATACACAATCATTAGTTATCTTCTTCAGTGTGTTACAGCTATGAACAGCAATACACACAATACAGATATCAAGTGTGTGTGTGTGCGTATATATATATATATATAAAACAACAATGTATTTACCTTATCCAGAGCTCCTTACCTGGTGACTTTGGTTGAACATAGGTGAAAATGGGTGGGTGGGGAGGGGGGGGGGGAGGGGGGGGGGGGGAGCTGTGCTATGTTTGATTGTAGTGAATAAGGACCAGGCTCACTCAGATTCCAAACCCCTGCCTTCCTCTCTGAATATGCTGCCCACCCCAGGTCTTAGCAGCTTCATGGGATATTAATGTGTCAGCTTCAAAGGGGTCAGCCAACTTCCTTTCCTATTTGAGTGAGGCACTGGCGATGTAGCCCTGGCCTCACAAATGCATCCTGGGAAGGCTTTATTAGCAGTGCCTTCCTGGGACATATCATCTGTAAACTGCAAAATGTTGTAGGATCTTAGAGAAAGACATTTTTCCCCCTGATCCAGTGTACCAAGAAGTAAAGGGAGATGGATTCATCTTTCCATAGTGAAAATTATCTATAAATATCTGTTTGTAGATTGCCATTTGTTGTCATTTTGTTGCATTTGTTGTCATTTTGTTGCATTTGTTGTCATTTTTAAGATAAAAGTGAAATTCCTATTCTAACTATAGCAGGAACATCTCACAGTTGGAGTGTCCAAGACATAAAAGAAGCCAGGAGAAAACTCAGCCGTCATGCTCCTGCTATAATTCAAATATCAGTTCTGGTTTAGTTTTTCAGAACAAATATTCACATAACATAAACAAATCTTGCATTCTGCAGGTTAGGTACAATATTATGTGAAATTATTGAATACCTCATCTCCTTGCTGAGGTCGCATCAAAGAAACACGATCATACTGCCTTCGTAACAGGGCCCAAAGTGCATCAAGTCGACCCTTTAAAATGGAATGAAGTACAAAATCATTTGCTTAATGTAATGAACAATGTGCAGTTGAAAACCAACATATCAAATAAGATGAAACACTGATACGCAACAAATGTGAAGGTAACATTTAACCCCTTCATGACTGAGCTTGTTTTTGGTTTCTGTTCGTAAATGACTGACACACTTTTGACATTTTTGCTGTGTGATTCTTCTTAGATACATTATGTGTCTATTACATTACATTATGTATCTATTGTTGAAAGTCAAAAGATTAAAAAAAAAAAAAGCCAGCTTGAGATATCTCTCGATCTATACGAGCTGTCAGAATGCCGGCAAAAGCCAGCATGTGTGTCCGCTCTGCTGTGACTCTCAGACACCCGATATTAAGGTATCGGGTGTCTGAAAAAGGTTAACCCTTTCAGTAATGGATCTCTAGATAGTTAGACATCCATTACTGAATGGTAACCGCTGATTCTCAGCGGTTAGCAGCCTTCTAGTGCAGCAAATAACTCGTCACGTACAGTGTACCTGACGAGTCATTTGGTCCCTTTGTGGCTGGACGTACAGTGTACGTCTCCCGTCACGAAGGGGTTAAAGGGTGAAGAGTTTGGAGAAGGCAGAAGAAGTGAACAATCTAGGACAACATAGCTGAACTGGAAAGTGAGCTGAAGTGGAGAATGTTTCCAAATCAGCTATGTTGTCCTAGATTGTTCACTTCTCCTGCCTTCTCCCAACTCTTCACCCTTCTGTGAATAACACTGTTAGTATGTATCACATTGTCAATCCCAAAAATCCTGTAGGCCCATATGAAACAAGATTCAGGCTTCACTAAGGGCCTTATATATCAAAGTATTATTTTATCAAATTGTGGTACTTATTCTCAGCCACCAACCAGCATGAAACCTGCTCTGAAAGTTTAACTTTGATTGATGGTTGTGAGGAAATACCTAAATTTGGATCATCAGTCTACTTTTGATTGACAGTGTTCAGTATTTCACAAAAAAAAAGGTCTGGATTTACACAAAAAAAAACAACCCGCAAAATTTCCTATGGATCAAATGACAGCTATACACAGAAAAAAAAACTACAACAGGAATTATGTATAACAGAAATGTGTGTTTTGAGTTCAATCAAATTATGTACACAGTAATAAATGTATGTTTGTAATATAAAACATTTATACAAAATTGTTAAAATGATATAAAGTATATTAACATGTTAATTCACATTTACAGGGCACATTTTGCTTTATATAATGTGTTTTATTTGTATTGCTTTGAATTGACAACAAAAATCAGACCTTGATAACCAATTGTTACATTGTATATAGCCGATGACACATGCAGACTATTTGCAAGTGTTATTTACACAGGACTGGATGTATTTTGACACCCACACCGGCTAAATGATAAAAAGCAAGTCCCAGCTGCCATTTTGATAGCTGGGAATGACAATAGTGTGGGGGGG